ACGACGAACAATAAAACGAATAAGCTGTTAAATGTTACCTCTGTGACTGTGATTGCACGTGTGTGTGCTGAGCACCTCGCCCGAAAGCTGCTAAATTTGTTTCATGTTGACTGGACGCCATATTCGCTAATTTGCATACATACGCGCAATACGGCGAACGAATCGGAATATGTCGGAAAATCTTTGAAAATCTCGCTGTGACATACTTTCCTTATATTTTTCAAACAAGAGTCTGTTCTCTTGCTCCAGTTGACTTTGTAAGCGCCATAGAAATATTATCTCTGGTAAACCGCTGTGATCGACGCTATTTCTACCATAATTAAATTTTACAATGTTGATAAGAACACTTATTATTCTACTTAATGTGGAAGGTTTTAACTTACGATTGTCTTTTAAGAACGTGATATACTTTTGAACTAATCCTGTGTCGTTACACAAGCGAAGTGGCAGCATGGTCCTCCCTTCCGAGCAGGGTTCAATTGTTTGGTGTAGAAATTGATGAGTGTTCGCAGTAGATGCTTGTAAGTGTTTTAGTGTTTTACTTTGGCGAAGAAGTATTAACTTTTAGCACTGCGTAGATGTATGATAAGTTTGCAAACCTTTGTTAATTTCCAGCATAGGTAAAACAATTTGAAGTTGAGGTAACACATTTGATGAAGCCTCTATTTCTGTGTCTCCAGCGGTGTGCTCCTGTGGCTGAATAGGATCTATATAAACAGCTGCTTAGCCGTAAGAATTAATAGTCGTGCGAGAAAGTGCTTCTCAAATTCCGACTCAATTTCACAACCAAAACTTTCCCCAGTTAATAATTTAATGGATGAAATAAAATGTAAAGATGAGAATGTTGTTTTACCGAAGGAAAGCAGACTACAATTAACCTCGACAGGTGATTTCGCTTCCTTAAAACTGTTTATATGCAACACTATAAAACGGCATCCCAGAAGTTCCCAGTCATATTTCCTGCACCATCATATCCTTGCCCACGACAGTTCTCCATACGTTGGCCAATGCCCTTGCTGAAGTTGGAGATTTCTTCAGATAGAGCTTCTCCAGTCAAATCTTTTTGGCATGGATTAAATTTTAAAAATAACTCCCGTATCTTCATTAGATTGTCAACAAATCTCAAATTATCACATTTGTTTTACATTAGGGCAATCCATAGGTCCGTCAGTCAGCACAGAGAAAAACTTCGCATCTTTTACCCCGCTAACAAGCACTTCAGTTATCATTTCGCCACATATTTCGAGGACTTGATTTTGGCCACGTTTGGTTTGAAGGCAGAGGAGGAATGAGGGTCTTCCCGAAATGCAACGCGCGAATCAGTGCGGCTCATTATTATTCAAGTTATTTATTCTCAACGCGCCGTTCTATTAAAAACTGTTGAAATATATTGCGATTTTTGCTGTGAAGATCTCGTTTTCTCAAAGGTATTTTTTGATAACCTTTTTGTTTAGTAATTTAATAAAAGAAGTTTTGAATAATTTTGTATGTATATCGCATTTTACTTATGTTAAATTCCCATTGTATTTATGGATGTTTTGGGTGTTGGAAAAGTGGCATTGATATATTTTGGAGTAAATTGTACTTCTTTACAAGGAAACTAAAATAAAATCACATCAGTGAATTCAGGAATGTTTACTCTTTATATTGATCGCGGTTTGAAAATGAGCTATTTTTCCTATATTCGACAATTAGTTGATTAATGCAGTTATCATGTAGAAAAGTATAGCGAAGTTAGATGTATAAAGGTTTCGAAGTTTGGGCGAATTGGAAATTCATCTCGGCGCATTTAAAAGTTTCTCGGGTTTTTAATATATTTGTGTTGTGTTTACATTCAGAAGTCAGAAGTGGTTGCTCAAACAGCAAATTAGTTTACTTTGAAACTAATATTTCGCTTTCTAAGCCACAGTATCATGTCAAATTTTCTGTCTTCTGAGTTTTGTTGTCTTAAAGATAAACATCTGTCACAAGTTCAAATTTCAGCGAAATATACATGTATTCGGCATTTGATGCTGTCTGGCCTAGATTCGTACAGTATATAAATGCCATCCTGTCTGCGTTTTAAATATAACCGAACATCTTCAGTACCGCATCTGATCAATAATGGTGCATTTTATTACCTGGACCAGTATCAATATTTTAAAATTCAATTTATGTGCAATTTTGACCAAAATTTAAACGACGATTGCTTTCAAAATATAAAAATATTTATGTACTATTTATTCCGCCCCTAAATCACTTTCCGAAATATAGAAGGTTCGCTGTGATTGGTCGACCGGAGGGAATGGAATGTGCAGCTCGTTTCAGCAGACGTTATTTAGCGAGGGTTACAGCTATATAAGAACGTCTGCGAGGGAGACTATATTTCCACTTGCGAGAGAAATTGTGCTGTCGAAATTTTTCGCCCAATTTCTTTTAAATTGTGAGCAGTCAAGTACGTAGAACTGATTTGTTGGCATGGTTACAATTGAAAAGATATATCAAGCGAAATATTTCGATGACGAAATATTTCTCTGTAAGTAGAAATCCTCCCTTAGCTTAGCTGTTTTGCTAAAAAAAACCTAAAAGGTCAATAAAATGAATTATCTCCAAACAAAGCATGCAAAGACAGTTTAATTAATATTTACCTGTTGCTGCAGAGCCTGCTCACAATATTCCAATCCATTAGTGTATTCAACTACCTCTCCATATTTTTTCATTAACTATATATGTAAGTTAAATATCAACGTATATTATCAATTCGTGAATAAATATACCTGTGCCGTGTACAATAGAAGCATGGTAGGTGTTACTATAATTGATATATCTATACTTAGAAACTTCAGAAAGTACTGGTAAACGTTTCAAGAACCTATAGGGCAAGGACCTGATAAAATATTTTATGTTTGGGGGCTTAGGCTATCCAATTAACATTTGATTTATAGATTATTCTAGAAATTATACAAAGGAATAACAAAGGTATAACATTCTTTATATTTGAAACGTTTTGGGCAGTTCTGCTGGCCGTCTTCAGGCTTTATATTGACTATAATTGTAAAAATTAACAACAACAGTATTAATAAGCACTTATAGATGGGCAGTAAATCTGCTGGAAAGGTTTCAAATATAAATCTTTGCATAATCCTAGAATTTTAAAAATAAGCTAAATCAACCGAATACACAGAACAACTATTTTTCTACTTTTAGTATCTGCAAAACGCCATTTCATGCATTTTAGACACATTTTATGATTTTTTTCTGTGTTGGTGTGTTTTTTTTTCTGTGTTGGTGCAGCTATTTTATGCGCCTCTAACACGAAATAGCTGCACTATATTCATTCCATTAGATCATTTATGTGCCTCTAACATGAAATAGCTGCACCACCGTGGCCAGGCATATTTTTCAAGCTTGCCCGGTGTGGATATACACTCAGAGTAACATCACAAGCAATATTTTATGATAATCTGAAAACCACAGATTTGGTATAATATATCTTATATCAGAACTGAAAGCATTATGAGGTTACGCCCCCCTCCACTGCAGCTTTTCCTCAGTTTTTGCAGAATTACAAAATTGGTCCAGAAGAAAACCCCATTTCAACTCGTGGCTACCCCCCTTATTATGAGTATATCTTATCAAAACGAAAAGCCGCGAATACTATAGACTGTTTGCTAGATATATTTACCTTAACAGCCTTTGTTGTTGAATCGTTGTAAATATATTCACGGCAACTTTGACTTAAGTCACAATATACGAGTGCCTTCAACGTAAAAAAAAACATGAATGGTGACCATCAAGGTCATTGTTGACATTCTATATATTCTATTTACTACATAAATTAATTTATAAAAAAAAATGCAATAGCTGGGTCAGATCCAGAATTTTGCAATGAAACCCAGTATTATTGCTGTTTAGTAAAGGGTCATCAAACATATTGATATACTTGACACTACAATGGGCCATTGGGGAGGACACCCATGCAGAGTTCTTCCCAAATCACCTGCGCGTGCTAGGACGACGGAACGTGAAATTTGAGGCGAACGAAACACCCCGAAACGGATTAGAGTAGGAGAACTTCGCTGCCTGTAATGCAGTTATTATGTATTGAATAATCTTGATTCCCCGTTACGTGATATGAAACAGTTTTTGTGAGTGGGAGGGAAAATTTACCCGCACACCTTCGCCACCAAAATAGAGTTTGTTTGTCTTCTCCCCCGTCTAACCAAACCACTATTCAACCACCTATGCAAATTTAGAGTCTTATTTACAACATTTAACATTAAAAAATCTAATTCAGGTGAAAGATCGTATGACCCCCCCTCCCCGCGGTCAAACACCTTATGCTTCGTAACATCTTTGTGTCCAGCATGAGCACCACCTTTGAATATACTATGTCAGTAAATTGTTAAACACGTCCGAATTTATCAATATAGTAAATACGCGACACATCTTGAGCTGCAACCTCTCATTTTAATTTAACCCTAATCTAAGTTTTATTTGACACTAATCCAGATCTTTTTCAAAAATCCTGCTTACGGCCCTGAGATCTTTGCAATTGTAGTGTTGAAATGCTATGGTAATGATTTTAGTAATCTGTACGGGATTATTCATTCCATTAGATCATTTATGTGCCTCTAACATGAAATAGCTGCACTACAGTATATTTGAATTTCAGGTTAAATGGTTTCTACTGAATAAACACTAATTCAAGAATTGCTTGAACCAATTAAAATAGAACTTTGTTGAAGAGATTTGTAGATTGGAATTTCGAGGGTAATTTTTATAGTATCAATAGATACAATGTATATTGTAGCCTAGTTCACTTGTATCACGAGTCTCTGACTCGAGTGAATTGTGCAACCACACCCATTGGAATGTGATCGACATACAGTAGCTATCACATATAAACGACACAAATATTATACTATACCCTAGCTTATTACGGTACAAAAAAGTGGATCAAATCTCTTTCCAGAACTTAATGCACTAGACTAAAATAAAGTGTCCAAAGTATCACTTACATCATCCTGGTATTGAGGTAGTATTGGCTTTTGATAAAACCATTTTTGATAAATGTATTTTTCTCCTTTCTTCACCTGACCAGCTGTATATTGCAAATGTGACAAATATAAATATATATGACGGTGCATAGCTACTAATAAAACATTGATTACTAGATGGCAATAGGCCCATCATTTGTCATCTGCACTTCATTAGCGAGCGCTCATAATTTCCCTATAGAAGAAATTTTCTCTGGTATACATGTTTTTAAAACAGAAATATAAGAAGTCAGATGAATAGTTTTGCTTGGAAACCACGTTTAGCTTCGGAACAGCAACATTCCGGTATTTATCGTCTTAGGGAAAATCTGCTTGCAAACTTTCTTTCAAATTCTTGTATACTTTAAACAACAGCTTCGTGTTTCACTGATACTAATAGTGGTGCATGATTCAGACATTCATTGATAATTCATGTATTTATAAGTGGTGGTGTTGAAGGATGAGTAAAAGATTACAATACCAGAGTCGATATTACCATAGTATAGTTAATTGCCATATTTGGCACATTTGCACATACAGAACTGTCAATCTCATCATCTTTGGCTAATATACTATTGCTATTAGAAATACATCCAAAATTTTTTTCATCCTATTCGATATTATGTTTCACTTACCAACATGGGTAGTACTTTCATCGCATTTGCCATCATCATCTAAACTGAAATATTTGATTTTAATTCTTAAATATTCGTCTATAAAACTCATTTATACAGGTCATTAGATTGAAATGTTTTACCGGATTTACCTCAAATTTCGCCTTTAATTTAAAAAAAATAATATTCTACTCGAAGTGAGAGGCCGACCCTATTTAGCAACATGTTTATAAACGTACAGAATGTATACCTTTTCTCAACTCCGCGCCCACATTTAAATGTTCAATCATTGAACGCTCATAGTGATATGTCCTTAATTAAGCCACTCCTCATCAGGAATAGGTAGACTGCTCTAGATGGGTACGTTATATTGCTCAATTCTGTAGGTTAAGTTGTAGGTTCAGTTGTAGGTTCAGGTTCAGTTGTAGGTTTAATTCTGTAGGTTCAATTTCCAGGTTCAGTTGCAGGTTCAGGTGCAAAAGCTGCAGGAATTCGGTTTTTCTGGTTCTCTCCTCCTGCGGTTTAAGAATTATTTATCCGGACGCTTCCAACGAGTAACTATTCACGGTGCTACGTCGACCACTTTATCCATTACTTCTGGGGTTCCACAAGGATCGTTATTGGGTCCCTTTCTCTTCTCTGTATATATCAATGACTTACCTAGCTATGTATCATCCTCTACTGGGGTCGGACTGTTTGCTGACGACACCAAGCTGTATCGTTGCATAAAGAATCCTTCTGATGCCTTGGTCTTGCAAGAGGATATTCAAAGTCTTCGATGTTGGTCAAATGAAAACCACCTTCATTTCAATCAATCCAAGTGCAAGGTACTCTCTATAACCAGAAAAACATCACCTTTGGTTTCTCCATACAGTCTTGCCGGTGACCTGTTGTCCTTTTCTGATGCTGAAGTTGACCTGGGTATAACTATCAGTCCCAAATTAACATGGATCCATCAAGTGAGCAAGGTGAAGTCCAAAGCTAACAAATTACTTGGATTAATTAGGCGATCTACCTTGGAAATGACTGACATCAAGGCGAGAAAGTATCTGTACTTACAGCTCGTTCGAAGCAATCTTGCGTACGCATCCCAAGTATGGTGTCCACAGTCCATACAATTAATTGAAAATATCGAGAAGGTGCAGAGAAGAGCAACCAAATTTATCCTTAATCTTGGGTTTGTCACCAACATACCGTATCCAACAAGATTACATAATCTAGATCTACTACCCATAACTTATTGGCACGAATACCTGGATATATTCCTACTCTATAAAATCATTAACAATCATAAATATATTGACGACAGTGCTCGACCGGTTATATCAGGATCAGGAATCACTAGAAGTGAAACTAATGACAATCGAATTAAATTCTTAATACCTTATGCCAAAACTGTAACGTTCCAGTCCTCGTATTTTATTAGAGCTTGCAAAACCTGGAACATCCTAAGTGATAACCTTCGAGACAGAAACATTGGTTTCTATGCTTTTAAATCAGGACTGAAACTGTATTATAAGAACGCACTATCGAACACGTATAACTGTGACGATCCTCGGACTTGGAAATCTGTCTGTGTTAAATGTAAAAGGGCTAGATCCCTTGATGGTGTTTTAAACTGTTGTTAGTTGTCAGTTTAGCCGTTTTGTAATTGTGTTGTTATACTTTGTCTGTTTCGTTAATCAATTATTTGAACGTAATTTTTTATGTAAATATTAAGGGATCGCCGTAATTGGGGGAACCTGTGGCGAACTCCCTGGCACTACATTGTTGTATTTTTAGGTAGTTGCCAAATCCTATTAAAACATTAAAACATTAAAACAATTCCGTAGGTTCAATTCCTACCAGAGGACCTTGTGCTGCAATTTTCGCAGTCGTTCCTGGATAGGTCTTAAAATGTATATATACTCACTTGGATTACAAACCCTAACATTCTAACGTTATATTGCTCGCAAGCCAGACGAACAGCCGGCGAAAGCTCTCCTGCATGTATGAAGAATTGGCAGAGGGCTCTAACAGAGTCGATTTTAAGACACCTTGAAAGGCTCTAACAGAACGGCCGGCGTGGCGGAGGCTGATATCAGATGTTTGCAATAAGATAGACAATGATCGTGACAGACGCACAAACAACAGGGAGAAGGGGGCGAAGCGTCACGAGAGAAGAATAGTGGAGTAGAGATGAACTAATTAAACTACTTATTAATATTATGATTTTTTTTGGACACTCATTATTTTCCTCATCGTACGAGTTTGTACGCGCTTGTGAAAATATTCATGATAATGGATGACCGAACTGTTTTATGATTTCAAAAAGGATTTATATGACTTATCCTACGTACTTTCTCCAAACAACAGCCATTCCACGTTGTGGTTTGATGGAAATATTTAGGAATGGAAAAACTGTTTCACCACCCTAAAATAAAACGAACGGATACTTGCATCAGGCGAGGCAAAACAAACATGGTAAACATATTTTAAAGGAAGATGCCAAATTTCGTTTTTGAATTCGCTTGAAAATCACAGCTTTCCACACCTATTCTAGTGGTTTTAGAATCTTTGAAACAGCAGATAATGAGACTTTAGGGCGCGATATTGGTATAATAACCTCACTAGTTACCCATAGCCATTAGCCAAATTTAGAAAGTTATATAGACCTCTGATTAACATATTCCATCTAACCAATAAAATATGTTTCCGTCCTACCACTGACTAAAAGCCACGTGGGCCGCTTTTAACACACACTAGAACCACAGTAGATTTGTGGCGGTCACATGAACTATCCAGTTCTAATTTTTAGACCAGTGTTGTAGCTGCCTCTTTTTTGCTTTACAGATTACTGTTTCGAAATAAAGGGAACATGGCTATTATTGTTCTATATCAGTAAAAATGCCAATTAATTAATAATTGAGTTGCATAATTTGATATGCATTATATATCTATAACTGACAGCTGTGGTCTGATATATACATGCAGCTACTTTGACGTTTCGAGCAAAGGCCCTTCATATAGGGAGTTAAAAATCGCAGCTTCATATTATATTTCATTTGGAATTATTAAAATGGTTATTCACTTACAGTCGAAAATTTGTTGGCGATGATTTATCCATACAATATATCGATCTCACCTCGTCAACGTCAGTAAGGTAAATTATAATAGTTGCCATTCGATCATTAGGAATATGATGACAATCTGTATGCGCTTTGTACTAAATAATAGACGAAGCAAAGGCACATAGTATATAGGGATGGAAGAGGCAATGGGACAGACCTCATGTGTTTGTGTAGGAAGAAAAAAAGCTGAGGATTGTATAGTGTTATTCTGAAAAAAGCATACCAGGATTTTTGTGTGTTCGAAATCACAACAATGATTCTGGAAATTTTTGGATTCCCCCCCGTGACATTTTGTTGCGTTTTCAACGGTTTTTGGACAGTTTCAAAAGGGGCCGTTCTTACCTCACTTTTTGCTTCATATTTCACCAGTTGGGTGTGGTATGCGTTCGTCCTCGGCAATTTTATCATGTCTTGAATGTTGCTCTCAAGAGCATCGACATCATGATTTTCTCCCCTAGGTACCAAGACACTGGAACTAATATTGAGAACTTTCGTCAACTTTTGGCTGATATTCATACCATCTAAAGTGCCTCCATCACAATTTTCCATTACTTTCATGGAAATATTATACTCATCTGGCGATAACGAGGCTTTGAAAATAGCTTCGAGTAGTTGTTTTGTTGTTGAAAATCTCCAAAACTTTCTAGTAAAAAAGGAGATTATCAATAAGATCCGAAGAGTCTGCACATTTATACGATACTTACGATACTGGCATCAAATTTGTTGACGTATTCTGAAGAAACATAAAAAAGTCAAAGAAAATTTACAGTGCGTCTACA